ACACACACACACACACACACACACACATACACACACACAGGCAGGGAAAGAGAGACTATATGCTGAGAGACAGAAGTCATGGTATATCAATGTACATTAACTGCTGCCCCACACAGACCCCATCCCCCTCCCTGCCCTGAGCTGCTTCCTCATGCATCAGACATAGAGCAGGACAATCATAGCCTAGAAAAACAGATCCCTCTCCTTGGCCAACAGACTGCCAGGGGTTAAGAGGGTTGACGGGTGCCTTTCAGAATCTGCATCTCTAGGGTCCTCCCAAGAGTGCCCCCCAGATCTTACCTGATGAGGTCAATAGGTTGAAATTTATAAAACACTCCATAGCGTGCCCATTCTTGATACAGCAGCTAAACAAGAAAAACAGGGAAACAGATAAGAGGTGCAGGGGGACAACTGTTCACCTGTTTGTCCACCCTAGCAAGTCAAAATTTTAGCACCCCAAACCACCCTAGCAAATCAAAATTGAATCCCCAAAGTTCAGCTTCTAGGAAAATTCTCACGAGATCCACCAGAGAGATATCCAAAGGCAGGAGGCTACAGAGGCTGACTTCCTCTTTGGCTATAGGAGGCTATAGAGGTGACCTTTATCACACTCTGGGGCAGTGCGTGACAATCATAACCCCACCTTCTTTATTCCCTTGCCTTGCTTCGTCCAGGAAAATGAGTCCTGGCTTGCTTTCATTCACTCATTTAACGTATTTATTGAACATCTACTACGTGCCAGATGCTGGATATAGCTATAAACCAAACAAAATCACTGTTGTCATGGAGCTTACACCCTGATGTGTGGAAACAAACAGAAACACACCAACATGTAAGATTTATAAATGCTTGGGGCACCTGGGTAGTTCAGTTGGTTAAGCATCTGACTCTTGGTTTCAGCTTGGGTCATGATCTCATGATTTGTGAGTTTGAGCCCTGTGTCGGGCTCTGTGTTGACAGCACAGATCCTGCTTGGGATTCTCTCTCTCCCTCTCTCTCTCTCTCTCTGCCTCTCCTCGCCTCCCCTGCTTGCACACATGCTCACTCTCTCGCTCTCTCTCTCAAAATAAATAAGTAAACTTTAAAAAAATAGATTTATAATGGCTTCAGGAAAAGCAAATTGAGGCAAAGGAATAGAATACAAAGGGCAGCAGAGTGGAGTAGGATGCTATTTTAGATAGATGGCAAGGGAAGGCCTCTCTGAGGTGACCTCTGAGCTGAAGAAGTGAGGGAATGTGCCAGGCAGAAAAGTGCTCTCCTGTGCAAAGGCCCTGAGGACAGTGCATGCATTATATCCTAGGGAAAACAGGGAAGCCTGTTTGCACTTCCAGGGCAGTGTGACTGTGAGGCAAAAAATGAGAGATAATGTCAGAAAGTACTGAGGTGGCAGATCACTCATGGGCTTGTAGGCCACGCCCAAACCTTTGGACTTTGAAGGAAGCCAGGAGGGGAGATTTGCCGGAGTGGGGAGAAACAGTCTGCCTTGACTACAGACCTCCCACTCCGGCTGCTGTGTGGAGAAGAGACTAAGAGCTGGCACAGGAGTAGGGGGTCTACCACAGCGGTCCAGAAGAGATCATGGTGGCCTTTGCCACAGAGGCAGTGGGGGAAGTAATGAGAAGTGGTTGATTCCACTTTATATTTTAAATGTAGAGTAAGATTGACTGTTAGATTGGATGTGGAATGAGAGATGGAGAACCTGGCCTGAGCTGCTGAGTGAATGGTGACTCCATGCACTATGGTGGGGAGACTGTGGGAAGAACCAGTCAGCAAGGCAGAACCAGTTCCGTTTGGGACGTGCTAATCCAAGATGCCCTTCTGGCATCCACATGGGGCTACTGAGTAAGCAGCTGGACGTAAGCTTCTGGAGTTCAAAGGAGAGTCCATCTCCTTTACAAAGAAGATGTACATTTGGGAGGTGTCAGGCCAGAGATGACTTATAAGGTCATTAAACTAAGGATCTAACCACCAAGGAAGAGGAAGTAGGTAAGGAAGAGGCGTGACATCAGGGCGCCAGTGCAGCAATGGTCAGAGAGCAAGGAGATGATGAACAGCACAGGAGACGGCAGAGCAGCCGGGAATGTGCTAGACGTGTGTGGTGTCCTAGAAACCAAGGGACAACTGGTTTCAAAATGAACAAAATGACCAGCTGTGCCAAACACTGCTGATGGGTCAAGTCAGATAAGAATGGAGCAGTGACCTCCGAACTCGGTGACTGTAAGGTCACGCATGACCTTGACAAGAGGGGTTTCTGTGGAGCTGTGGGGGCAACACCTGAGTGCACCACATTCTAGAAGTTAAGGGAGGAAATGAGGCACCAACACATCAAGCCATGCCGTCCTGTGACGTTTTCCCAGCAACGTTAGCAGAGCCAGCATGTGGGCAAAACCTAGGTGTCAATCCCAGCGGCAAACCACATTTTGGTTTCAAACACTTCGCCGGTGAGCTTCACAGCTCATCCGCCTGGAAATGAAGTGATCTGGTAATGAACCGTTATTAGACGTCATCTACATACCCAAGCTGAATAGATATTAGCGTGTAACTGAATTATACGTCTAGCATTGACAAGTCAAGCTAGACGTCAAGCATTGACAATACACTGGCCATCCTGTTAATGTTCTTTATTCTCCTTACACATCACACATCCTTACACATGACACAGAATTCATAAGGAATTCTGTCAAGAAGACCCTGCTCTAACTAGGTATTTTAGATATCCAGTTGTACGTTAGGAAGCCAACCTTTTCACCTGAGAACCTTAAAAGACATGCTTTTTAAGTAAACTGACATAAGAAGTGGCATTCCTCCTTAATGGGTAAAGACTTCTATCATCATCATACCTCCCAACCACTACAGAACAGAACCCAAAACCACATGGACCCTGACAGAGCAGCCTTAGTCACCGCCACTTGCAGAAGAGGAAACCCACACACGAAAAGCGACGCAGCGCCATGACCAGCAGAACAGGATGTGAATCCGTGAGTTTGGATGCCGCTCGCTCCGGGCAGGTGGCGTCTAACCTAATCTCACTGTTCCTATTACACCACCTCCTCCCCTTTGTCTGAGGTGCTACTACTGCCCTGGGTCTTTATTCCCTCTCATAGTGCAATCCCTGCACTCACCAGCACCTGGCTGTCATCATCTGTGGCCCAAAGGGAGGCCGATGTGCGTCAGGAGGTAAGAACAAGGACTCCCCTGAGGGCTGTGGGTCGTCACTGCCTGCGTCCCAGTTCTGACCTCCAGAGAAGATTCCTCTCCGAATCTGCCAAAACCTGAGCCTGAGAACATCCATCTGCTACTGCCCTGGAAGGAAAAACTAAAAACACTCCAAGAACCAGTATGGCACAGTTGGCTTGGGCCCAAACTGACAGCCAAGCTTACAAGCCCTGCCCCTGGTGGGATATCGAGCATGCTGCAAGAAACGTCTGGAGGTCCCTTTCTCAGCGTGGCACCCTCGGAGCACAAAGCTAGATTCAGTTTGTGAGGATGAGCCAAGAGAGCTGTGTGAGCCCCGTGCAGATGGGCAGGATGGACACAGAGGACATCACGGGGCAGCCCCTGCAATGGAGCTCCAGCTACCGGACACCAAGCCTGGGAAGTGATGCAGCAGTGAGGGCCGAATGCCCACGTGGCTCTCTCCAGGCTGGCTCGAGCGCTGCAGACCCTTTGCCATCTCTACAAATGTTCACTCACACATACTTAGAGACCAAGTGAGTCTTACATACTAAAGCCCAGGTTACGGGGTCCCAGAGCAGACTGGCAGTCAGGGTGGAGGGAGACGTGCTCTGGAGTCTGCCGCCTAGGGATTAGCGTGGTGGAGGAAAGTGCAGGAAGACGTCCACAGTATCTTGTAACAATCCCTTTACGTGTGCAGAGTCTAGATCCTTCTAATGCAGCTTTTAGTAAATCCACTTTCTCCCTCAGAGCTACACCACGTCCTCTTCATGACCGGCCAAGCCTGCAAATAGATTCAGGAAGGTCTACAGCTCCCTCTCAATGGACAGTACCTTATTTCAGAGGCCCGGATGTCATTCCAAACACGTCGGCCTGACCCTAAACCTTTACGGCAGGAAGCAACGACCCACAGGGGCCACCCTGCCTGATGGATCAGGGCATTCAAGCAGCCCATGGGCTCCCTGGGGATCACATTTGACAGTGGGTCAGTTGGTTTTAGTATTTCATGAGACTGTAAAGGAACCCAACTGTTAAAACCATTTGCAATGCCAGAGAATGGCAAGATGCTTGAGACTCGAGGCCCTCTCGAGCTCCTCCGAGAGCCAGGCTTGCAACAGGAAGAAAGATGCCAGCTGCAGCCCACCGAAAGGTGGTGATGGAACAGGGCAAACTCAATGGAAGAGAATGGAATTCTACTCCCAGATCCTGCAATGACCTGTTTGAATTTTTAGTGACTCACTTCAACTATCTCGGTCTTCTCCAGTAGCAAAATTAGTGCAGAAGGAGAAAAATCAATCCTCAAGTGACACCCAGGACAAAAGTACCTTTCTGGTCAGAAAAACAGACTGACTCTCTTCACACACCTTTTAGTGGGTCACTTTATAACCGTCCACTAGAGAAAACAATCATCTGCAAAAGCTGGAAAATACAAGACCCAGGGTTTAAAAACTGCTAAGAAGAATCACATTCCAGTGATGTACCTTAGGCACCCCTGTAAGTGGGTGAGGAAGCTGTGGGAGCTGGCAAGGCTAAGGCGGCCCTCAGAAGATGGTTATGGTCACTTCCCTGGGATGCTTGGGAAAACCAGGCAGGTCCAGCTAATGTGGAATTAGGTGGCTACTGGCAGACAGGGGAGACCCATCCACATCCATGCTGCTCCCTCTTCCTGCTGCCCTGCTTTCTAGAAAGGTGTGAAATCTGGGATGCCTGGGTGGCTCAGTTAAACATCCAACTCTAGGTTTCGGCTCAGGTCATGATTTCATGGTTTGTGAGTTTGAGCCCCAAGTCGGGCTCTGGGCTGACAGTGTGGAGCCTGCTTGGGATTCTCTCTCTCTCTCTCTCTCTCTCTCTCTCTCTCTCTCTCTCTCTGCCCCTCCCCAGCTTGCTCTCTAAGTAAATAAATAAAAACTTTAAAAAAAGGAAAAAAAGGTGGGAAACCCCTGTTCTTCAGAGGCAGGCTGCGTCTTGGTAATTAGCCTCCAGGAACAGGGAGAGAGACTTCCAGCCCCTGGCTGGGGCTGAGTCATCGAAACTGCACAAATGCACAAGGCAAGCTGGAAGGGAAGAAGACTGCATTCTCAGGGGCCTCTGGTCTTTCCTGGGATCTGCCCATGAGGAGCCTGGGCCTCGAGGAGATCATGGGAACAGGCACAAATTGCAGGGAGGAGTAAAAGAGAACATCTAGATACCGGCAGGATGGGCAGCTTGGGGTGCCCTTGCAAATCACCTCTAAAGGCCCCCAGAGGGGTGACCCCACTGCAGTGCCTAACCCTTCACACCCTCCAGCAACAGATGCAAGGGTTCTCCCTGGCACCCAACCAAAATCCTTCCTGCAGCTCTCTCCAAGAACACTAGACTATTATAACACAATTAAAACGAATCAATATGCTGCACGTATTCAGAGGTTTGGACTCTTTCTTCCTTAGGATACTTTTAGGCCCCACTCATACAGTACTGAAACTGTGGGAACAAACCCAGCACAGCGCTGAGAATTCCCGCTGCCATACAACAAGACCCTGTGTACCTGGCTGTAAAGCACAGGCTGCGATTTGGACGCCAGGGTTTTAGTCCTGACTCGACAATCATTTATGGCCATTGGAACCATCTCCTCACCTTGCTGGGTATCAGTTTCCCAACCCAAATGGACAGAAAAAAAGCGTCCCCTCTCCCACGGATTCCCTTATCCCAACCCCAGCAAAGCCAATATCCCTAACCATGACCGTGGCAGAGGAAAATAAGGACTGGCCAGCAAACCCAAGGCAAAGCCACAAGAAAGGGGCCTCTTGTCTTTTGAAGACAGCTGTCTACCTTTGACATCCGCTGTGGGAATTAACCACCAAGGTGCGGTTCCATCCGACCTGGTCTCTCCCTGCCTCCCAGATTCTACCCATTCTGCCGGTTGGGCTGTGCACTGGGAATAATTCTGTTGGCCTACCCAAAAGATTCCTGAAAGGAAAAATTTTTGTTGTGTCGTGTTGTTAATGCTAACATAACATCATCCCAAAGACGAACAGACATATATTTTAGATAGTCTACAATTTGCTCCCCTCTGCCTCTGTGCAGGTAACAGAGGTCTGGCTGATTTCTGCCAGGAGTTGCTGTGTGTTCCCAGTCTCTGGAATGTTCCTGTAGAGTGCTCCACCTTGACCAGCTGGGGTCACCACCCACTCAGCAGGAGGATCCTTAGGTGGGCAGCAGTGGCGAGCACTCTTTAAAGGGGAGGAAGGTGAAATGAGAAAGCGGGAGGGCAGAAAACGGTTGGGGTGAGCTAGGTGAGACAAGGGGAGAAATGCTTCCTCCTTTTCCTTTAACTCTGATCCGGGACTTTTCAGGAAATTAAACACCGAGACTATTAGCATCAGATAGAAAACAGATGAGGTTAAGACATCGCAATACTACAGCAGATTCCCTGGGCAGGCAGAGAGGGGACATGTGTAAGCAATCACAGCAGTATTTCTGGAAAAGACCTTTTATGTTTTTAATACTTAACACTTCATAACAGGGACTAATAGGCAGGATAAAAAGAAGGCTGCTCAAAAGGCAACTTGGGGGATGAATAATTTTCCAGACAACAGAGCTGGGGGGAGGGAAACTCCTCGGGCTTCAATTCCTCAGCCCTCCCACCTCTGCCCTCCCTCCTCTGCTCACCAGAGTTGCTGATGGTTGGGGGAAGCTGGGTGGGAGGATGGCATGAAGGGGTTGACAGCCAGATGGGGCAGTCCCCACTAAAGAGGCGGGTGATTGTTAGAGCGCCACACCATGGCGAGGGAGGGTGGCACACCCACACAGAAGAACCGGATCTGGGTGGAGAGCCTGGAGAGAGGGGTAGGGGCAGGTACTGTCTGTGATTGGCACAGAAGGGGTCCTTCCAAAGGGACCTTTTCCTTCCCCTAACTATAACCTCTGATTCCTAGCTGCCCGGAATATACAGCATGACTGATCCTCCTTCTCCCTCACATCTCTCATCTCTAACTTGGGAATGGCTATTCCCCACTTGTCTGCCTAGAGAATAAGAAGAATAAGTTAAAGATGACACCCCCCCCCAAAAGAAAACAGCCATGATGGCACGGATAGTAACACACTTATGCAGCAGGGACATTGGATTGGAGAGTCAGAGGTGTTCCAAGCCTCCTCCCTTTAATTGTGGCAGTGTCATCATGGGCAAGGTGCTCACTCTCTCTGGGTCTCAGTTTTCCCACCTATAAATTAAGGAATTTGGATGCCCTTTCATCATCAGAGGTGGGACAATGCTTCTGGGCGGGACTTCTGGATAGACTTCAGGATGGTGAGCACTGCGGGCTGTCCAAGCACTAAATGCCAGTGTGAGCACCCCATACACACAGTCATGTCAATGACCAGAAATGGCCCTCACGTTTCCAACGCCTGGAGGGTAGGGGGCTGTGGAAGAGCTGCTGAAAAATATTTAATCAGGTAAGCAGGACATTTGGGGCCAGCCCCACACCCACCCACAGTCTCCTGTGCCCAAGCACTCAGTGTGGCCCAGGCCGGCTTACCTTTCTGTCATTCGTGTCATCCCCTGGGCTGTCATATTCACCCTGTAAGACAGGAGGGATGGCTGCATCAAGCCAAGGGAACTCTCAAAAACAGAGAAAGGATTTTCTTTTCCATCTTCTAGCATCACCCCTTTGTGTCATTCCCTTTGGGGGAAAGTCAAAAGCCTGACACGGTAAGGAGCCAATGTTCAGTTTTGTTAGTCATCAACATTTGCCATGTTTCCTCTGGACAGCTTCTCGCACAAAGATGCTCCCCTCCTAGGCGTCTGCCATCAGCCTGTGCCTCCTCGGAGCAAACACAATGGCAGAGGCCGTGGCCAGCAAACGGTGTGAACTCGCCCGGCGCCAGGGCACAGCGCCCCCTGTCCACAAGCGGCAAAACCTAACAGCATATTTGCCCACAGCCAAGGCATGGGGGTGGGAGACTGCCATCTGGAAACTCCTTCGGGTACTCAGAGGCCCCACCTCCACAGTCTCATTGGGCATGACTCTGTGACCCGTGGGAAAGAAGTGACCGGTCAAGGAGTAGTGCAGTTGTGAGGGCACCTAGGTCAGGGGCCAGGCAAGTTCTTCACAAAGCGTCTCGAAGAAATGTCATCGCTCTGTATTGTGGGATGTTTATAACATGACTCTCAGTCAAGGAAAGCTTTACTTACAAGTCCGTCTGTTTTCTCTACTGAACCAAACAACAGCAAAAGCAATTTTGAGAGATTGGCTTCAACATTGTTAAATATGTTTTTTTTTTTTTAAACCTGATACTTAATATATATTTGCCTATTATATATATATAGGATGAGGAATTTCACACCCACACAAAACAATCACACACAAAATATCACCTTCAGACTTTTTCAGGGTCTGACCGCCCAGGATGTGTGTTACCTGGGCCTTCGACTCTCCTTCCACCGCCACCCACCCACCTTCACCACCACCCCCTCCCATCATACACTGGCATGCCACGTCTGCCTTCCCAAAACCACCACAGGGCACGTGGGGAACGCTCCCACCAAAGCCGGCTCATCCCGCCATTGGACAATACCCGGAGAGGCAGTTGTGGGGATTACTGTCCACCCCAAGGAGGCCGGATTCGGCCCAGGTGTCTGAGCGGCGTGACTCCCTCACGCCTCGCCTGCTGTGTACTCGGCCACCGTGTCCCCTGCGTTGCACAGCCGTTTGCAGACTGCGCGGAAAGGATACTTACGTCATGAAGAGGGTAGGCAGCCTCATAGATGTTGTTGGCGATCAGAGAGTTAATGCCTGTGGAAGAAAGGAAGGTGAAAATGGCAACTGTAGGGCAGGAGTTTCTCGACCTCACCTCTGTCTGTTGAAAACAGGCACTGCGTGCTCCTCTGTCACCCCTCAATCTACAAGTTTCTGTGGAGCTTTAGTTCTTAGCCTAAGGACAATATTTTTACTTCCCAAAAACAAAGTTATGTTTCAGTATCAAATATACTCTCTCAAACCTCATGCTTCCCCTTTTCTCCTGCCCCCCGACCACCGCAAAGTCTCTGCCACCACCATCAGGTGACACTACCTGTGTTCAGTGACAGCACAGGAGTGACTATGGATTACTGTCATATGATCAGGAAAAGTATATGTCATAGCATCCCACAGCACGTTATCAGAACTCATTTCTGGTGCCTTCCCATTCCGTCCCAGAGCAGTGCTGGTCTGCCTCCCGGAGGTAGAGGGCCGTAGAGCAGTGGTTCTCAAAGTGTGGTCTGGGGAACCCTGGGGGTCCCCACGACCTTTTCAGGGTGCTCCGAAGGTCAAAACTAATTTTATAATAGCACTAGGACATTTTTTGCTTTTTCCCTCCTATTCTCTCATGAGTGTACAGTGGGATTTTGTGACATGGGGTGGCATCATCCCCCTGACAGCAAATGGAATATGTGTTTGTGTATCCTTGGGCTTTAAAAATTTCCTCAGTTTTGGGGTGCCCGGGTGGCTCCGTCGGTTAAGCGTCCGACTTCAGCTGAGGTCATGATCTTAGAGTGTGTGTGTTTGAGCCCTGCATCAGGCTCTGTGCTGACAGCCCAGAGCCTAGAGCCTACTTTGGATTCTGTGTCTCCCTCTCTCTTTGCCTCTCCCTCACTCGCTCTGTCTCAAACATAAACATTAAAAATTGTTTTTTAATTTCTCAGTTTTAATTTCTTTTTTTTTTTTATAGAGTTTTTTTTTTTTTTTCCAACGTTTATTTATTTTTGGGACAGAGAGAGACAGAGCATGAACGGGCGAGGGGCAGAGAGAGAGGGAGACACAGAATCGGAAACAGGCTCCAGGCTCTGAGCCATCAGCCCAGAGCCCGACGCGGGGCTCAAACTCACGGACCGTGAGATCGTGACCTGGTTGAAGTCGGACGCTTAACCGACTGCGCCACCCAGGCGCCCCTCAGTTTTAATTTCTAATACAATAAATATTGACTGATATAAGCCACCAAAACAAAAGCCCTTTGGATGCTCTCAATAATTTTTAAAAAGTGTAATGGTTTCCTGAGATCACAAAGTTTGAGAACCACACACGAGATTCACTTTTTAATCCCGACAGTATTTCACACCACATGCACCTAGCAGACCCTACGAAATATATGCTAAATGAGTCAATGACTCTGTCCCTATAACTCCGGTATAGTCACAACAGAGAACTTTCTGCTCAGGACAAAGGCACTGTTATTTACTTGTTTCATTCATGGTTTTATTCAGAGACTATAAAATGGTCTGTATGTTCTGACTCAGGATAGTCTGTCCTGGGTCACTGGCTCCCATATGGGAGACATTATATCCCACCAACCCTAAGTACCGACGACCCTACCATGCGAGGATGCACGTGTAATCACGGAGGGGGAGAAGGAGGGGTAAGCTCTGGTTCATGGGGATTTCCCTTGTCTCAAACACACATTCTGCTCTGAACCATTCTTTCCAGAGAGACTACAGACAGTTGTGAGATGAGAAGAAAATTGGTTTGGGAGGAAAACACATATCATGTGCAAATGCTAAGTAATGTGCATTTGCACGGCTCTGGATAAATGACAAGGATGGATAACAAATCTAGACAACATTTTCCACCTCCCCTTCCCAAGCGATACCCCACCCACATACTGAGAGACCACAGAGGCTCTCAAACAATCCTCTCTCCTCATCGGCCTCCTCTTCTTCAAACCCTGCCCCTATTCGCCTCATTTTTAGGGCCCTGGAATCCAGGAGGACCAGCCATAGGCCCCACGTAGAAGCAGAGGCCCTCGGGAGACTGCAGGGGGCGCTCTGGGAAGCGACCACTCCTGCAGTGAGTTGAGAGCCGCCGCATCGCCAAAGGACCAGTCCTCTCCTGATTTTAAGTTTCCTCCTTGGCATGAACATAAACCACCCGAAATAACTTTGGGGGCTTGGGGGGGAATAGACAGTGGGTAAAAGGGAGTGTGGACGGGAGGGGTGCCCGGGGGGTGCTGAATGAGCTGCAGATCTGTCTTACTCACAAGACTACAATTTCACTCTGAGCATCATTAATCAGTTCAAGAGCCATAACCACAGCAATGTGAAGCCACCCTACAATAATCAAGGGGAGGAGTCCCAAGTGAGGAGGGGGGTGGGGGATGTTCCAAAGCTACAAAAGGGCTGTCCACATGGATAGAGGCTGAAGCATCACAGGCAGGTGGAGCTCTAAACTAGACCACACCCTGTGCACTACCCCCACCCAATCAATCCCTGCACTCACACCCATGGTAACCACAGCAGCAACATACACCCTGGAGACAGCCCCCAGCCTGCCTGGAAAAAGTTAAACAGGTGTTGAAATCTCTGCTGTGCTGGGCACTGAGCACAGCAGCCGAGTGTCTGACAGCATTAAGCTGATCACTTGGACTCAGGGGTCCTGCTGCCAGATCCTCAGGAGGATCTAAATCACTGGAGGTCTCAAATAAAGCTTCCCTTGCACCACGTGCCTGGAACAGGCAGCTCACTTCACTTGTGGGATGTTGTCTGCCCCTTGTTGGGTGTCTCCTGAAGGCTTACAAGGTACCCCAGGTCAGAGAGCATTCTCCCCTCACCTGTATCTCTCATGGCACCTAGTACACTGCTGGGAACACAGAAGGGATAATGGTGGGTAAGAGTAACCAGCCCCATGGCTAAACGTACGCAGTATCTCTTCCCATTTATCACAGGCACCATCTTCTTCACTACTCCAATTTTCTATGGCAAACTATGCTGATGAAGAACCCTTAAACTCTAGTCAATTAGTCCATTTCCTAGAGAGGAAACCCAACCAATGGTTCTTTGTCTTGGGGCCAATACAATTCAGTTCATCACATCGGAGTTGTCCCAACCCAGATAACCAGAGCCCCAAAATGCTGTACATGATGTGTCTCTGTCCTCCAGGGCTGTGTACCTCCTTTTTCCAGAGGGCATCAGACGGGCGATTCCAACCAGTGGCTGCTACAGAGGGAGGCAACAGCACATAAAAGAAGAAGAATGGGGAGGGTGGGGGAGGCAAGTTGAAAATAACTATTCAGCCACAACTTCACCCAAGAATGGGAACTGCTTTGGCCTCTTGGGTCACCCACAGACTTCAGAAACCAAGATCCTACCCCCAAACAAGCATGGAAATCAGTTTGAAAGAAGAAAATAATCAAACGTTTTTTTTTAAAAAGGAGTCTCTGCTTTGAAAACTGAAATTCTGAATTTTTTCCTCTCTTTTCAGCAAAAATGAGCTAATTGGTTCCATCATGCACCATTCCATCTGGCCATAATGGCAAAGCTTTCTTCTTCAGGATCACATCTAGTCTTTCCTCTCTGCTCTAGACCCAGGGAGACAGAGAAAGAGAGACCTAACCACTCATCCCACTGCCCCCAGAAGCAGGGCCAGCAAGAAGGAGAAAGCACAGAGGACACTGTCCTTTCCCTCTCCCCACAAAGAGAAGCAGTGTCTCGGCTCAAACACAGCACAGCTCACTAGGGACCCCCTCACTGATCCGTACGGTCCCTTTGAGTCACTAGGTTCTTCATATTTCTTGTTTTTAGAACTATGATCCCTAAAGGAAAGGGCTCATGCTTCCCCTCCGCCAACCACAGCTCTGCACAGACTGACCCGGCCAGGCCTGGCAACGCTGTCCCTTGGCATCATCCATCCAGAGGGTCAGGGCCAAGGAACAAAGCAGGGTAGGCTCAGGCTCCAGGACTGGTACCTAAAACACACACTTGGAACACAAAACCCGAGGCCTAGCATTTAGCTTCCAGGATATCTCTGGCTTCCCGGACACAAAGGATCAACCAAAGCACAGTTTATGGTAGGCCTCCCAAAGAGAGCCTCATTAAATCTGTGAGTGCCGCTGGGTGATGGGGACTGCGGCTCTATTCCCTCCAGGCCAAACTCAAAGAAAACTTTCATCCAGCGGGACAGGTACTTAGAAGGATGGGGCTGAACTCTTGAAAACCCATTTGGTTTTGATTCCCCCCAGAACAGGGACCAGTCCGCCCGGCATCTGCTTTCATCCCCCTACTCCAGCCGGACGTAAATCTAAACCAGAGGCCCCAGACGGTGCATTTAACAGAGACTATATTTACCCATCACCAAATTGTCTTGACGTGTGCTTAATTACTTAAATGCCTTTAATCCCAAGCCTTTTCTTCTAACAAAATATAAACCAGTTCAGCTGGATGAATGATAAACCAGATGTTTACAACACACAACACAGTCTGGCTTTGGTCAAAATAATTAAGACATCGTCTCCTGAGTGGGGAGGAGAGAGTCCCAAAGCGTACATTTGTTGAAATGCTCTGACACCAAAATGTCTATGAAAATGTAGTCCCATCAATCTGTAATTTTCTGTCCAAGAAAAGACAGCAACAACTTCCATACGAAAGGAGTAGAAAAGGTGTCTCTCTCTCCCTCTGACGTGGTCACGGGGGCTTGTGACTCTCTCCACAGTAAAGTGTGCTTTACAAGGCATATAGCCAACAATACTGCAGTAATGCTGTATGGTGACAGAGGGCAACTACACTTATCATGGTAAGCACTGGACCACGTGCACAACTGTTGAATCACGATGTTGTACACCTGAAACTAATAGAACGCTGTATGTTAATGACACTTCAATTTTTTAAAAAAGGCATTCCATGAAAGGGTGAATTTGCAGAGCCCTGGCAGGTGACCTTACATGATGTTGATTAAGGAGGCATCATGGTGCTAAGGAGGCACCGCCAAGTTTCGCCAGGCCAAACCCACTCACACTACCACCACCACGCAGAACCCAAACTCATGAATAT